TCCTGGACCAGCCTCTGCCTGCACTCCTGGCCACCCTTTCCCTGGTGCAGCCGGGCAGGGCCTCCCCCTCTTGTGCCTTTACTCCTGGAAGCTTTGAAAGGCTGTCTGGGAGCCAGGGTGGGCCTGTGGGGTGGGGGGCCAGGACCCCAGCACTCAGAACCCCTCCTAGGCCTGGCTCTTGTACGCCCAGGGAGCTGGCCCTCCGCTGCCCACCCCGGGAAGCGCTGGCCATGGCCTCCATCCCGTGTGCCTTCTCCTGGGCCCATGGCTCCTCCAGGACTGGGCTCCGTCCAGCCTGCTCTGACGGAAATCCCCCTCACCTGGGCCAGACCGGCTCTCAGAGCTGGGGCCTTAGCATCCAGCCCAACCCACGAGGCAGGTGAGAAAACAGGCCAGCTCGAGGCCATGCTCCACCTGCTGCCCCAGGCTCGGGGGAGGCCTTGTCCTCTTGCCAGGACCCTCCCCCTGAAGGCTGGGCACTGGCCTGAGGCTGGTCCCCCTCCACCTTCTGGCAGAGGCTGGGCTCCAGCACAAGATGGCGGCCAAACAGCCCCCCCCTCTCATGAAGAAGCACAGCCAGACGGACCTGGTGAGCCGCCTGAAGACCAGGAAGATCCTCGGCGTGGGCGGGGAGGACGACGACGGGGAGGTGCACCGTTCCAAGGTGGGCCACTCAGGGGGGCCGCCTCTGAGTGCCAGCGTCGGGAGGCAGGTTCGAGTCGTGACTGGGGAGAGGCATAGCTGAGGCCCATGGAGCTGCGGGAGCCCCAGGACTTCACTCACGCTTCTGGGAACGAGATGGAGACGGCAGGGAGTAACAGCAACGATGAAATCAGGAAGGCAGGACTAGTCGGGTGCCGGGGCCAGCAGGTGGCGTGGAGGTTGGATCTCACAGGGCCCACCGTATGGTTCGAGTCCTGGACCCAGTGACTTGAAAATCACACTGGGGGGACCAGCAGATGGCACAATGGCTATGTTGCTGGACTCCCACGTAGTTGACCGTGGTTTGAGTCCCAGACCTGGTGGCTTAAACTCACGCCAGGCATGTGTGTGTGCGTGCCCAAGATTCTGAGAGGAGAATAGAGGAGAAGGGATTGCGGCATGGCCATCCCCCCTGGGAGGTGATTTCTAGCTTTCTGTCTCTCTGTCTCTCTCTGTCTGTCTGGCAAGTGTGCACGCGCCCCATAGCAAAAACCTCCAAAAGAGAAAGAAAGAAAGAAGGAAGGAAATTGCACTGGGTGCGTGTACATGCATGCTCAAAGTCCCGAGAGGAGAATGAAGAAGGGAGTGTGGCATGGCTGTCCCCCCGGGGGGTGATCTATCACTTTCCCTCTCACTCTGTCTCCGGCAAGTGCATGTGCCCGATAGCAAAAAAAAAAATGGCGCGTCCACTACGTGCCAGGTCCTGCACCAACTGCTGTAGAGCACTGTCTGCTCGCCCTGCTCGCCCTGGGAGGTGCCGACAGTCACTGACCATGTTACAGAGAGGAGGCCGAGGCGCAGTGAGGTCGGCCATCCGTCCAGGCTGCGCCAGTCAGTGGCCGCACCAGGCCTTCCCCCGTCTGGCAGCCCCTGAGGCTCGGTCTTAGCCATTGTATCTTCAGCTTCTCTTACACCCATGTCAGGGGACCCAGGAGAGGGGTGGCTGAGTGTGACGCTCCAGCCTAGGGCCCCTTTGGCCAGGCAGGTACCTCGGCAGGCCCCAGGGTGTGCCTGGAGGCGCTGGGCAGGTGAATGGGCCAGGGCTCCGAGAGCCTCCTCACCCTTCCTGTGTCCACAGATCAGCCAGGTCTTGGGCAATGAGATCAAGTTGGGGGGGGGGGAGCCTCTGGGACTCAGGTGAGCATTTACCTGTGAGCTTTCCCTGGGGCCCAGGGTTGCATGGGGGAACACTTTAGACCCCGCCCACCTCCCCACCCAGCCATCCTGGGCACTGTGGCTGGAGTGGGGAGGGTCCCAGGCCTGGCTGTGACCTCCCTCTCCACGCCCCCCAGGGTCTGGCAGTTCGTCTCGGCCATGCTCTTCTCTGGCATTGCCATCATGGTAAGCTCCCCACGCACCACGCCCCTGGGCTGGGCCCTGGGTGAGACTCCCTGGGCCGGGCCCTGGGTGAGACTCCCCAGCCCTCACCGCCCAGGTCCCTGGTTGTCCCACCCTGCGTTGCATCATGCTGGGCCATCTGTCAGGCCCCTGGGCTGGGCCTGGCCCCTCTGCCTTGCCCCAGAGCATCCTACATCCTGTGGACCCGGGACCCCAAAGCCCAGCTTGGGGGTGGGGGACAGTTCAAGATCCTGCTCCTGGGGTAGGAATGCGTGACCTCACCCCTGCCCTGAGCCCTCTGCCGCCATCCCAGGCCCTGGCCTTCCCTGACCAGCTCTATGATGTCGTCTTCGATGGAACCGAAGTGACCAGCAAGACCCCTGTCCGCCTCTACGGGGGTGCGCTCCTCAGTGAGTACCGCTGTGTGGCCTCTGGGGAGCGTGATGGGAGCTGGGAGACCCAAGCAGGCTGCAGGGACCCCCGGCCTTCATTTGTGCTGGCTCCCCTCTTCCGTTTCCTGGCTGGAGGCTGCGGCCTGCCTCCTCGGCGGAGTCTCTGCTGGGTGTGTGCTGCCATCTTGTGGCCGTTGGTGGAGTGCACCTGTGAACTGGGGCGTCGCGTGGGACCAGCCTTGACTGGGTGCTTGCTGTGTTAGTGACTGTCCGGGTGCTGGGTGCAGAGGTGTGAGTGGCCCAGAGAAGGCGGCAGAACCAGCACCATGCCTGCAGAAACCCTCATGCCCACCCTCCTCTATCCCCAGAGCGTTTGAGCCGCTCTGCTTCCTCCATCTGAGCTGCCCGCAGCGGCTGTCGGGAAGCTGAATTTCGGCTTTTAAAGTTCAGCCTAAGTGCTGTCACTCCTCTCCTCCAGACTGTTCTGTGACTCCTTCTTGTCTTCAGAATAAGGTCCCAGGTCCCCTGCCCAGCTGCCTCCACAGGCCTGGCCCCAGCCCGTCCCCACCATCCCTGCCCTGCGTTTGGCCCTCTGTCGGGGGCGCCAGGCTACCTTCGCACACCTGTCCCAGCCACACCTGACCGTGCCCGCTGTCCGATGTCACAGCCCCAGCGCGGGCAGCATGCCCATGTCCTGTGCCCGTTGTGCGTCACCGTCCAGGGTCGCTCAGATGCCTCTGGGGTGGGGGAGGAGGGCAGCTGGTTCCCAGCACTTGGCTCACATGGAGGGAGGTCAGAGTGACAGAGCTCGGGTGGTGGCAGCAGCACGAGCACTATGTGGGGACACGTCTGGTGCTCAGGACCAGCAGGCGTGGCCAGCGGCCTGCCAGAGGCCGAGTGGGAGGCTCTGGTCTGTGACCCTCCCCGGGAGCTCCCGCGCGAGTCCTCAATGGGCTCGGGTGCTCCGTCTCCAGGGGCAGGCCCGGGCCATTAACGCATAGGACGTGCCAGCTCTGGGTCATGATGTCAGTGCCCCCATCACACTGACAAATGGACGGAGTCCCCAATCCCAAGTGAGGGGAGGTGACTTTATATTCCCATGGAGCCCTGGCGGGAACACAGATGGGTAGGAGCTGCAGCGCTGGCCCTCGGGGAATGGGGCAGGCCTGGGCTGAGTAGCGGCCGGGCAGGGCACGCCAGGACCAGGCCGCTGCCACCAGCCTCCCCACCCCGTCTGCTGTGGCCCCCCAGGCATCTCCCTGATCATGTGGAACGCGCTCTACACGGCCGAGAAGGTGGTCATCCGCTGGACCCTGCTTACCGAGGCCTGCTACTTCGGGGTCCAGTTCCTGGGTGAGTCCTGAGGGGCAGAGACAGAGGCTGAGGGGGTGCGGGTGGCAGCTTTGCCCCTCCTTCCAGCCCTCGCCGCTCGAGTTTGCAGGGAGTGATGGAAACCTGTCTGGGGTGGGGACCCCTGCAGCCGTGTCACCTGCGCACACACACTTGCACACGTGCCTTGCACCCACGCCCCACATGTGCACTGCAGCCTCCCCACACCTGTCACTCAAGGTGGCCCATGTGCTCTGCCCCAGGGCATCAGGACAGCACTGGACGAGGACGGGGGGGACAGTGCTGCAGGCCCGTGCTGGCAGGTGCCGGGCTCAGAGTGAGGACAGCGCAGTGGCTGCCAGGGCTCCCCCGGCCGTGGCAACCTATGGGGTGGGGGATGGTGAGGGCACACACCGTCTGACCTCCGTCCCCTCCCGCAGTGGTCACTGCCACCCTGGCAGAGACGGGCCTCGTGTCCCTGGGCGTCCTGCTGCTCCTGGCCAGCCGCCTCCTGTTCGTCGCCATCAGCATTTACTACTATTACCAAGTTGGCCGAAGACCCAAGAAAGTCTAGCCGCCTGCTGGCTGCGGGCCCCACCCTTGCCTGGGGTAGGGGCCTCTGGGGCCTCTGTCTCTCTTCGGCTCCCGGGAGGCAGGAGGGACCCCGTCCTGGCCTGCCCACTCCCGGGCAGGCAGGGTGGTGGCCTCCTGTCCTCGTGGGCCTTCCCGGATGCTGTGATCTCGGGCTTCTGGCTTCAGATGCTGGCTGGGGAGAGGCAGGGCCGCTGCACCCCGTCCTGTCGCGCACAATGACACCCTCTTTTCTGGGCTCCCTTGGCCACCACATCCCCTCAGCAGACAACGACTGAAAAGCTCGAGTCTTGGGAGTATCGGCTCAAGTGGAGGGTCTGGCCTCCTCTGCCAGGAAGACCTCCTTTCTGGGGAGAAGAAGCTGTGGGCCATCCCCGTTCCTCCCAGCCACCTAGCCCAGCAGCTAAACTCAGCTTCTGAGAACTTGCCCCAGTGTCCCGACCCCTCGGCTGGGCCTTGCCCACATGTGGGGGTCCCCTTGCACACCCTGAACGCACACACACTCTTTCCCACTGTGGCTGAGGCCCGACAGGCTGGGGGGCTGCCTGACTTGGCATTTGCCCTCGCGGCCTAACCGTGATGACAGGCCACATGCAGCCAGCCTGTCCCCACCCCAGGTGGGCCCACCCTGAGCTCCTGGGCCCTGCTCGGGTGCTTTGTCTCCAGGGCTGGCTCTGCCCCATCCCCCCCGGGACCTCCACACTAAATGTCCTGAGTTCTGAGGCTGTCACTGTACACACCCACAGCCCCACCCCTGCCCAGACAGATGGGCACACCACAGCCCCGGGTGGTGGCAGGTTTGGAGACAGGCAGAGAAGGGTGACATTTCTCCCCCCTGGTCCAGCCCTCATCCACTCCTGACCCTCTCTCCCTGGGGCACTGCCCTCTGACCTCCAGGCCAGGGCTGCCCCAAGACCTGGCCGAGGAGGACCTGGTGCCCTTCCAGAGCAGGGAAGTACACGTGCACACTCCAGCTGGCACCCTCATCTTCCCTGTCCCCCCTCCCTGCAGGCCCAGAGTCCGTCATGTGCCCTGTTAGTCCTCCAGTCACCCCTTCTCTTGGCACTAGTGCACCCCAGGAAGGGCCCTGGGACAGGTGTGGGGAGAGCAGCTGCAGGGCCCATCAGGCTTCTCCGTGTGCACTACAGTGGGGTGGGGCTGCTGCCCCTGCCTGGGCACCCTGCGCCTCGTTCTGCCCTCTTGGGCCCAGTGACATGCCTGTGCCCAGCAGAGCCACGGTAGCACAGCAGTGATGGCCAAGGAATGGCGCCGTGGCCATGCAAGCA